ACACATCGAAAGCAACCTGGAAGGGCTCACCGTAGATGAGGTGATTTTCAAGATTGATAGGATGATGTTTTTTTTTTTTTTTTCAGTCTTAAAATTTTGTTAAAGCATCGTAGTCAGAGTCATTTTTTTTAACTTTTAACAAATGTTGAGCTACATGCTAATTATTTGTGTTTGGCTGAATAGGCATTAAAAGAAAGGAGGTTGTTCATTTTAGATCTCCACGATGCACTGATTCCATACATGAGGAGGATAAACTCTACTTCTACGAAGACATATGCCAGCAGAACAATTCTGTTCTTGCAAAATAATGGAACTTTAAAGCCACTAGCCATTGAGTTGAGTTTGCCTCATCCGGATGGAGATCAATTCGGTGCCATTAGTAAAGTTTACGTGCCTGCGGAACAAGGCGTTGACCATTCCCTCTGGCAACTGGCCAAAGCTTATGTAGTGGTAGTGGACTCAGGCTATCATCAACTTATCAGCCACTGGTATAACTCTATCATAGAAACCGAACACAATCTTACTTTGTCTAGTACTGAAATTAACTTGATATGTCATACATGTGTCACAGGTTGCATACTCATGCTGTCATTGAGCCATTCATTATAGCTACAAATAGGCAACTTAGTGTGCTTCACCCTATTCATAAGCTATTGCATCCTCACTTTCGTGACACCATGAATATCAATGCACTTGGAAGGCAGATTCTCATCAATGGAGGTGGTGCTCTTGAGACAACAGTTTGTCCGTCTAAGTATTCTATGGAGCTTTCATCTGTGATTTATAAGGACTGGGTTTTCCTTGAGCAGGCTCTACCTGAAGATCTTCTCAAGAGGTAAATCATCAAGAAAAAGACCATTGCTTACTATTGATTGTTTTAATTTAATTTTCTTAGGGTTTGTTTGGATAAACTTCTCCAAAAAATACTTTTAGAAGAAAAAAATATGAAAGAAACATGAAATAATTTTTTTCACAAGTTAAAATTAATTTTTACATTACCAAAATTTTGTTTTTAACATATGTATAAACTAGTTTTAGTTTACAGAGAAACTTATTTTATTTTTATATTTTTCTTTTAAAAGTGCTTCGTGATAAATTTATCCAAACATGACATTAATATGGTTGAATTCAATAGATCATGTAATATTTTAAATTGTCCTATAACCATATTAAGTTGGATGGCATCTTTTCTTCTTTCAGAGGAGTGGCTGTTAAGGACTCAACTTCTCGTCATGGCATTCGACTATTGATTGAGGATTACCCTTTTGCGGTTGATGGACTAGAGATTTGGTTTGCCATCAAGACATGGGTTCAAGACTACTGCTCCTTTTACTACAAGGAGGATGACACAGTCAAGAAAGACACAGAACTTCAATCTTGGTGGAAGGAAATAAGGGAGGTGGGTCATGGTGACAAGAAACATGAACCTGGGTGGCCAAAGATGCAGACATGTGAAGATCTGATTGAGACTTGCACTATCATTATCTGGATTGCGTCAGCTCTCCATGCTGCAATCAACTTTGGACAATACCCTTATGGAGGCTTCCCACCAAGTCGTCCAGCTATAAGCAGGAGATTCATGCCAGAAAAAGGAACTCCAGAATACGATGAACTAGTGACAAATCCTGAGAAGGCCTATCTGAAAACAGTTAGTTCACACTTTCAGGGTGTTCTTGGCATTTCACTTGTGGAAATCTTGTCCAAACATTCCAGTGATGAGGTCTACCTTGGGCAGAGAGACTCTCCAGATTGGACATCTGATGCAGAGGCATTACTAGCCTTTCAGAAGTTTGGCAACAAACTTGCTGATATTGAGGAAAGGATCATGAAAATGAACAGTGATGAGAGGTTCAGAAACCGCTATGGTCCAGTTAAGATGCCATACACCCTGCTTTATCCTTCAAGCCAAGGTGGACTAACTGGCAAGGGGGTTCCTAATAGTATCACCATTTAAAGAGGGCAATAACTGGGATCTAGTTTTTTGTTGATAAATAATACGGCCTCATGGGACCTAAGTGACTTTGAATTGTGATTTTGTAATGGCCAATAGACTTTTGAGTCCTCTTTTTCATTATAATGTGCAAATCTATAAATTATTTTGCCATTTGCTTTGCCTTAATCAACTTTTGACTAACTTTGGACTAAAGCAAACTGCATTCAGAAAAACAATAAAAAAGACAATCCCTTAAAGAAATGATACTGGACAAATTTTATTTTGTTATATTTTTTATCGATTCAAGGGAAAGACTAGACAACAGAAGGTACTTTATCCCCTCTATCAATCCATTCATTCTCATATTCACCAAACAAACAAAAAAAATTCCATTCATTCTCATTGAAATATGAACCTTTTAACTCTTCTTTTCCCTCCCTTTTCTGTAAACAGAATAGTAGTTGGGTAGTAAGTATAACTAGCTTCACTCTAAAATTCCTAAAGAACGCTATTCAGAATATTACCTTCAAAATGTTCACTTGAAAAAGATTTGTTCATACTGAATTTGCTTATTCCTTGGAATTCGAACCTTTAAAATTTTAATTCAAAGCCCAATTATTCATGTGGCCCTTGAAGGCAAATACGAGTTTAAATCAAGGGAAACTTTGTGACATTTATGAGAGTTAATCTTTCATTGTATCATTAAGAGATGAAAACTGGCTTCTATCACGAAAAGTTAAACAGACTTAACTAATGTAAGCTGCTGCAGTGTAATAAATATGATTATGTCAATAGATTAATATGAACAAGGCCAATAGAAGATTGTAGTTTTCCTTTTCAAGATGGAGAAGAAAAAAAAAGTTCTGGAAGTTATTGAGGATTTTGTCCTCAATGAATAAAAGGAAATAAAATATCCTTAATTAATTAAATCATAACTATGCTTAATTAAATAAAATACTTTGAGCTGGTAATGGTAACCCAGTTAAGACAACAAGTTCTAGTTAAGCTACAAGCTTGCAAACAAGTACACGTGTTGTTCAAATAAAGGATTAATTAAGTTTTGGATCGCTCAAATATTCGATTTATAGTCTTATAATTTTTCAGCCAATTTTAGTCATTCGTTTTTTATTCATAAAAATAAAAAAGAGGACTTATATTTTGCCCTTTAGTTGTCCATTTTTAGTTTACTCAAAGACTAACATTGACGAATAAAGCTAAACAAGAGACTTAAAAATTGACAATTTTTTTTTTATAATGATTAAAAATTTAATTTTGAAGTTATTGAGACGAAAAACTTTGTTAATCCTAAAATATATGTGTTTGTATAAGAGTTTTTTTTAACTTATATTATTGATTAAGGAATTAATAAGCAATGTTTTAGATTAAAGGTGTTTTTTATCCGGTTTTTTCTTTTTTTCTTCTCTCAAATTTTGGCTTTTTCTCCAACTTTTAAAATATTGATAGAAGAGATACTTTGTATCTTTATATATTAGATTAGAAAAATAATAATAATAAAAGTAACTTCTGAAATGAGGTAAGTTCTAAATTTTGATATAAGTAGTGGGAGTAGAAATAACTTATAGTTATAGAGTGAGGTAACTTCTAAATTTTGATCTAAATAGTGAGAGTAGAAATAACTTACAAATATAAAGTATTTTCACATAAGAGAGAGAAAATGATAAAAATAATAATAGAGAAAAAATAGGAATGCTTATTACATCTATATTACTATAATTTAAGGATATAACAGTCTTGGAATAGTAAAGACCAAAATCAGTTAAGAAAAGTGATATCATGTAGGTATAAATATTTTTCTATATATTTTACAAAGGTTTAAATACATTTTTACTATATTTTTTATTTTATTTTTTTCTTTGTAAAATCATTTTTTTGAAATGGTTTTATACAAAAAAACTATTTGTTTTAATCCTTGTTATGTTATCTTAATTATTATAATATATCTGTTTTTTAATTTTAATTTCAATAATATTTTGCTTATTTTAGGTTAATCCCTTTAAACATTAGTAAAGACTAAAGACAAATTATTCACGTATTAAAAAGAGAAAAAAAAAAGAAAAAAAATTAATATATTACAAGAATTAAAATAAATATAAAATTTCAAAATAAAAAAAAATAGAAGGACCATTTTAAAAAAATGTAAGGACAAAAAAGGTAAATTACAATCCCAAAAGTATATATTAAGTCTTTGTTTAGATACCCAAGCCTTTTTAAAAATACCTAAATTTTGATAATGTATAAAAATAAAGAGTTGTTTTAAGAACTAAAATTTGGGTATTTTAAAATATATAAAACAAAAACTATTATTTTTAAAAGTTGAAGAAAAGTCAAAATTCAGAAAATCTTCAAGTATTGTGATCCCTTAATTCAAAAAAAATTATCTTAAGAATGATAATATGAAACAGAAAATTTCCCATATTATTGTTATAAATGATAACGGATGATAAGATGAGATAATGCATATATATAAATATATAAATATAATAATATAAAGGTTTAAATATATTTTTAGTCTCTCAAATTTAGGATAAATCTGTTTTAGGTCCTCAAATTTAAATTATTATTTTAATTATTGTAATTTAAAAAAAATTTATTTTAGTTCTTATATTCAAATTTTATTAAAAAATTTATAAAAAATTATTGAATAAAATCTACCTATTTGTGTCCCTATTAGTAAAAACATCACATTAAATTCAGTTGATATTACATAACTGTCTTAATTAGTCACTTTCAAATGTGTTATTAGTGACCTAAATGACTAAAACAAGATTTTTAAAAATTACAGAAATTAAAAATAATAATTTTAAATTTAAGAAACCAAAAATAAATTTACCTTAAACTAAAAACATATTTGAGCTTAATATAAATATTTATTTTTATTTTTCACTAACGAATTCCATTCAAATTTACGGAAGCATGTGCAAGATTCTCTTCCGAAATTTCAAACATAATCATCTAGAGCGAAAAATTTAGGTCCCCAATGAGGCGCATAAGGTGGAGCGTTGATAAGAAGTAGGCACTGACGTGTACGGTGATGGATAGGATAATACAAATCCGTGTTCTCCCTCGTGTACCGTGTTCGTGGTTGATGCGCAGTGCGAAAAATCTCATTGGCTAGTGCCCCTACTTATATTCAAGTTTCGCGGCAATGCGTTTCTCTTTACCTCTCTCTTTCTAAACCCTGCCACTTCTTTTCTTCCTCTTCCTTCACCGGGAATCGGCTAAACCCTACCATCGGTGAGTGCCGCCGAACCACTTCCGCTTCCTGATCTGTAATCTAGGGTTTCAATTCCAAAAGGAAATTGTTCTTTTCTGCTTCACTCTTTTTCATTCTTAATATCGTTGTTTAAACGAGCTGTTTGGTGCCTGTTGTCTGATTCTGGAGTTTGTTGCTGTGGTGCGTTTGAATCGGCGTTCCCTTTCATTGTTTTATTTAATATTTTTGAGGTGGTGAGGGTGAGGGGTTTGCGTTTTATCTGGATGATTTGAATGTTGTGAAGCGCTTAGTCGATTGTTAAATTCGATGTAATGTGAGAAGTTCTGCTTGGAAGATGTGGATCTTCGTTGCTGATTGGTTGTGTTTAGCTTGCAATGGTTTCAATTTGCTGTTTGATTTGAAATGTTTCAGGTGCATTGTGTGAATTTGCCGTTTATCCTATTAGTGGTCGACGATAACTGTAATTTCCTTATTCGTTTTGGATTTATTCACCTCTTCCATCTTAAACAAAAAGAGTAGCACTATGAGAAGCTATCTAAGTATCTACGTATTATGGCATTTGGATTTTTTTGAAAATCCGAATGCCGAATTAAGCTGTTGAACTTCTGGCTTCTAATTGTTTTCATTCCTGAGAAAGGCAGTAAGGGTGATGTTAATTGTTGGACTTTAGAACTTGTTAGGGGAAAGTGGAATAAAGAAGGCCAAAAGAACTTGCACTGACCTTAGCCTCCATATTGATTAAATAATCCATAAGAGAATTTTGTGTTCTGTTTCTATGATTCATTATTGATTGGTTCATAAGCTGTGTTTTAGCTGGGCTAACTTGGTTGATTGTGGCTTTGTTTTTGGGTTCAAAGACACAAGGGTTCAATGGCACCAACAAGGAAATCTAGAAGTGTGAATAAGCGGATTTCAAGTTCAGATGACATTTCTCCTGAGAAAGATGGAGTTAATTCAAATAAAAACAAGCAACGGGTATGTCTTGACCTGATAGCATTTCTATTTTGAAACTGTAAGCTGGAGGGCACATCAAATAAAATAAAATACTGCATACTGCTTGGTTTCATATTTTTGTAATAGTTTTATAAAGAGGTTAAAGTGGCAGTTCTTGGGTTTTACACGAGGTATAATATTTGTGCTAGTATTCGTGCATTTGACTTATGTCTTGTAAACTATGTTGTACATGTACCACCATACCAAAACAAGTATTTGGTAAGACATGATACACAAATATGACGATGTTTTTGAAAAGTTATGATATGAGCACTGCAATATAAAACACATTTATTTATAATAGCCTATCTTGTGTAATAATTTTGAAGAAACACAAGGCTACAAAATTCAGATTATGCTTTGAGGGAGGGAATCAGAGAGAATGGGACTTCAATTTCTATCTTAGATTTTTTGAATAACATGTTTTCAAGGATTGCATGGGTATCGGCAAAACAATCACACTAAAATAATGTCAATAATACAAATTCAAATGTATCATGTAAGTTTAAGTATAAGTATTTGATATCAGATATAACCAGATTTCAAGCAGCCATGCATTATACATAATAGTTCTTGTCCATCACACTATGTGCACTGAACATCAACAATATTTCATCTATTATTTATGCTTCACATTTTTTAATCCTGGTTAACGGGTGCCCTCTACACAGAAGAAAAAGTTGACTGATAAATTAGGATCTCAATGGAGCAAGGAGGAACTAGAGCGATTTTATGAAGCATATAGGAAGTATGGGAAAGATTGGAAGAAGGTGTGTGTTTGTCATGGTGTTATTCTCTCCCCGTCCTGTTGTTCATTTGGAAAATTGAGGACAATTGGGCTTGTTCTTTCCTTTTCCTATCATTATCATCATTACATTGTAGCTATAATTGTTGTTACTGTTCTCCCTTCTTATTTATATGGATTTCCAGGTGGCTGCTGTTGTACGTAATAGATCTGCTGAAATGGTAGAAGCTCTTTACAATATGAATCGGGTAAATCAATATTGCTGTAGCCTAATTTGTAGTCACATTTCTTATTATGTACATGTACCTTTTGTATAAGTAATTAGGTGTTGTTTAGATGATATTTATCATGAAATATGAACTGAAAAATTAATGTTCAATTTCTGCCTATGGAAACTAAGACTTCTGTTCTTGCTCTTCCTATTCCCCATCTCCCTCTACCTTATTCTTATTTTTATTATTTTCTAATTGAGGCATAATTGGATATCAATCCATGAGTGTCAGTTGGCCAAGTTGTAATTGTTATGCCCCCAGAAATCCACATATTTCTCCATAAGGCTAGTTTGCACATTTAGATCCTCGTGTACAATTTCTTACTTCTAGCTATCACAAATTGCCTTATTAATGTTGTGTAGATTTTTTGTTTCAAGTGTTATTGAAACTACAAATTGTAATTTACAGGCATACCTCTCTCTGCCAGAGGGTACAGCTTCTGTTGTTGGCCTTGTGGCAATGATGACGGATCATTACAATGTGCTGGTAAGGTCAAAGCTAATTCCTATTGGTAGAAACTTTCTTTCCTGGACAAAAGTTGTAAACAGCTTTTTCATGTAATAACCTCTTTTGGAATTTTTTTTTCCCAAAAAGAAGGGTGAAACTGTTCTATCGAAAACTAAATTAAAAATCTGTTCTTGTTTCCCATAACAACTTTTTTTTTATATTATAATATTTCCATATCTTTTTCCACAACTATCATGGCATTACAATTGATGTAATTCATTACATTTGGATTTGCATTTCTCTTTAGGACAAAACTTACACTCTTTATTATAAGTGTTGTTAGTATTGTTCGCCCACTTAAATTGGAGTTTCATTTTAGTAATGTGTGTGATAAATGATTCTATTAAATGTCAACATGGATTACCAAGATAAAACACCACTTCTGATTGGAGAGCAATACCAACAATATTTATGGTACTGTATGTAAGTTTTATCCTTCTCTTTATATTTATTGAGACAAATTGACATTTGTGTTAGTTGTGTTTTTCGTAGTGTTGTACTGTGGTTTTACCTTTTTTTTGCCCCCTTGTGATATTTTATATTTTGATTATGTATTTTTGAGTTTTCATTTTTCGGACTTGAATTTGACAGGAAGGGAGTGACAGTGAAAGGGAAAGCAATGATGCACCAGGATCTCGGAAACCTGTTAAACGAAAGCGTGAAAAAGTTCAGCTTAGTGTCTCTAAAGATCCAGTCCAGTCTCACTCATTTGCTTCCAGTGATGACTGCCTCTCTCTTTTGAAAAAGAGGTGCTTTGATGGTAAAATACCCAATACCTATTCTGGTACCACTCCCTCTTTTTTTCCCTCATCCAGAGAACCATGTTTTAGTTTGCCTTCTAACTTGCTTTTATTCTCCTTGAATGACATAAAATTTTGTGGTTTAAACCCTTTCAACTGAAATGTAGTAGACTACTAGACTAGTAGTTATGTAACATATGGAATCTGGCAAAGTTCACCCATATTACAGAAGAACTATAATAAAGATTCTTATGAAAGATATATTAGGTGTTTGGGCTTTATTTTTTCTGTTGGTAGAAGGCCAACTGTTAGATATAAAATCCATTCATGAGCTTTCACCTAATTGTTTAACTTTTAGGAGAGCTGATCTATTACATGGTATCATAGCCTTTTACAACCAAGTGGTCAAGTGTTCAATCCTTGCAGCTACCATTCATCTAAATAATTGAATTCTAACACAAGGTAAAATGGGTCTGTATTTGTTCACACTTCAAACCTATAGGGCTTTCATGTGAGGAGGATGTTAGATATAAAATAATGCTTGAGCTTTCACAATGAATTAATTAATTATGATAATTCGCTTGAGCTTTTGTAATGGTTGATTCTGAACACCAAACTTATCTAAATTGGAGTAGAGAAATAAATTTATGAATATTTATTATGCAGTATGGTAATTCATGTGTCTGTTATCTTTAAGTCCCCCCTCCCCCTATTAGAATAAATAAAATTATCACCTTCATAAGGTTGTGGTTCAGCTGATGTTAAGTGTTATCATCAAGAGAATTTGGTACAGTGCATTACTTTCTCAATGTACGCTGGTATTTGAGAAACTTCATATATCATCTGCCTTTGTCAGGATCTACTTTCCTATCTGTGAAAATTTCTTGTGGGTTAAATTTTGAAATTAAACAGTAGCTGTGATGAAATTAAACCCTTTTTTAACTGCCCCTCCTTTCCAGTGCACTCCAATTATTATAAATGTGCAGGTAGAATATTATCCTATTTCAACTTCATTAAACTAAAATATTAAAATGAGTAACATTATTGATTATTCTGAATTGTCAGTCTTGCTCATATTCCTTGAAATATATTTTTCATAATATGTAAAATATTAAGCAGTGGATTTTGCAACGTTAATGATTATTCAATTAAACAGGTAAGCTGCCTGTTGGTAAAAGGACTCCTCGTGTCCTAGTTAAGAAAGATGAGACAGAAAATTATGTTTCGCCCTATAGAAGAAGCCTGAAGTCTACTGTAGATGCTAATGATGATGAGGTTGCACATGTTGTAGCGTTGACATTAACTGAGGCTTCACAAAGAGGAGGCTCCCCCCAAGTTTCTCAATCACCATATAGAAGAGTAGAGCGAAATTCCTCTCCTGTCCAGAGCTGGGGAAGAAAGGTATTAACTGTTCACCGGCTCTTTTCTGCCATTATTTTGTATTTGTTTGCTATATTGTTACTTCAAGATGAGTTTATGTTCAGAATGTGAGTAAGCATCAATGCCTAAATAGTTTCTAATGGAAATCTCTGTTAATAATAGGCTTGTGTTTGATACATTGTATTTTTAAAAAAGTGTAATTATTTTACAATTTGTCAACTAGCACAAAATGTCAGGGACAGCTCGTGCCAAGTTTCATGATGTTTCTGCAGATGAAGAGTTCTTAGAATGTAGTGTCAGTGTTGAAAGCAGGGGAGCTGAAAATGGAGAATATGCAAGAGATAATAGTTCATTGATGGATATGGAGGGCATAGGCGCTGTTGAAGTTCATCATAAGGGGGAGAAATTTTACAGAAAGAGAGAGAGAGTGAAAATTGTTGGAAGCCATCAGCTTGATGATGGTGGGGAAGCATGTAGCGGCACTGAAGAAGGACTTAGTTTTAGTTCACAAAAGGAAAAGGTTGATATTGAGGTTACTAATGACAAACTTGAAAAATTCTCTCCAAATGGTCAAAGGAAAAGAAACAAGAAACTCTTCTTTGGAGGTAATTCCATCACTACACATATGTATGCAACTTTTTGTTCCTTTCCTCCTGTTAAATTGACTTTTCCTTTTCTTCTAAATCTCTGAAGTCACAATATTTAACTACTTTATCCAACAGATGAAACCCCTTCCTTGAATGCTTTGCAAACATTGGCAGATCTTTCTCTAATGATGCCAACATCTAAATTAGAATCTGGTAAGTATAAAGCGATGTTTTTGATGGTTTAATTGTAAGAGACTTTTGCATGTGTATGTGTGTAAATGTGATAAATTGCACTTTTAATTTCTAACTTTTAATTCCTTATTTCATATTATTTGAGCTCATTTTCACTTATTCAACTCAAATGCTCAGACCGAAATCTACTTTTTGTTGCCGCTGTTCATGTTTGTTGCTGTAGTCATTAGAGATTTTGCAAAATTTTCTTCTCTTTATCAGACAAGGCTATAGCCTTGTAATTGATTTCTCAATGTTTTCCCCTTGCCCATCTAGAATCATCTATCCAGTTGAAGGGAGAAAGAATGGCTGCTGATAAAGACGAAAAGTCTGCTTTACGTGAAGCAACATCAATCAGCCATAAGAAACATAAACTTAAACACTGTGTGGTCCCTGAAATTGAGGTTTCAACCTCGAAAAAGTCTAAGCTTGGAAAGGAATTGACAAAGACTACAAATGCTCTCTCCGAATCAAAAGAGCAGCTTCCCTTTGCTGATACAATATTGAAAAGAAAGCGGAAGTCTATGGGTTCAAAGGTAAATACATTCTTGTATGCTTTATTGAGTAGATTATAAGTTGAGTCTGTTTTTGTTTTGCTTAATTTTTTCTCCAAAACAGCTCTCTACTCAAGAACACATTTTCTCTTGCAATGAATTGGATTAGTTAATAGAAAAAACTGTTGCACAATTTTTTTATAAACTAAAACAGTTTTTTTTAATAATATCAATTTTAAGCCTTAATTATTATTAGTGTGATAGTTCACGGCAAAAAAAAAAAGAATAGCTAGAATTTTTTTACTGAATTCCTGTTGGTTGTCGGATGGAATCATGGAATAGGGATCTGATGTGGACCACTATTTTTAGCATTACCATATCTCTTTATTTTAACCTTGATTTATTTCAGTTTATTTTGTTTCATCTTTTGCTATCAAAATCCATGATTTCAGATCCTTACAATTATTATTTTCTATTAGGATAATTGTTAGATATGATTATAATATTTGTGGATATATTTTTTTTATTAGGATAATTGCTAGATATGATCCCACTAATTACGGATATCTTGATTTAACAAGCAACACTCAATGCCTTTCTCCATTTTAACCATTCAATTTGTATCCTGTGTATGGCATTCTCATTAGTTTTTCCATCATTTTATAATGTTATCTAAGATATTAAACTCAATAGCTTGTGGTATGACATCTCTCATTTTCACTCGAGTCATTTTTCTTTAGTTTCTAGCTAAAATTGCAAAATCCTTCGATTCCAAAGTCTGACTCCAAAGCTTGAGTTTATAGTTAATCACCCCTTGATTCCTCAATCAAAACTATCATGCAAAAAAAATGCAATATGTTTTTAGAATAAGGGGAAACTAAGCAATAATCTTAGGAAATAATTCTACAATATTCTTAACTTTTTTAAGATTTAATATTGCTATTATGAGATATTTCAGCATTTCCAGTTAAGCTAAAGTTAACTAAGCTTTAAGCTTGGCATAATTATGTAGACATTTTCAAATTGTCATATGAGCTCTCCATCAAACGTATGTGATGATTGATAGTCATGCTGTGATGTGATATATGTTCATAGCTAAGAGGATAATTCTAGATAATTGTGAATCATGTGTTTTTAACAACAATCAGGGCATTCAAGAATTTTGGTTGTGTTAAATTTGTCCTTTTCATTCTATTCTTTATAATGTTTTTTATTTAATAATGGTAGTGTTACCTTATAAGTTATAAGTTTCTGATACTTATTAGAAAAGTCATTTGATTTTGAAGCTTGTTGTATTATATTGAACAATGTCGTATTTTTGTCATCATAATAATTTTCTCAGGACTTCCTCAATTTTCATTCTGATCCAATAAATCCTGTTCTATTCATCTCTGTTGTCCTGTCTTGAATTTGTCAAATCAATGATATTTGCAATGACTCAATTAGTGAATGGAAGCTTTGTTTGGTTGTAGGTTGCGAGTGCAAAGCTTGATTCTTATCCAAGTGGTCCCTTGAAAGATGGGGTATGCGAATCTTTATATTTTTATTTTCCCTGGAATGTGTTTGTGTGGGTGTAAATCTCCTTAGAACTGAAACAAGTTTTATTGTTATTAGAATTTTATTTTTCCCTTTAGAATATATGAAATGCTCTGGTCAAGTGATAGAAGAGTATTGTAAGTAGTATAGATAACCTCATCAATTTTATAAAACAGTTACATGAATTATGCATTCTACCTGTTTTCTACCTGTTGCTGTTCAATTTAGTGTATGTCACAAGATATGATTGTTCCCACAATCTATACGGTATCACCAGATTTTCTCGCCATGTTTATATTGGTAGATATTAGATAAGCACAATTAGGTATTGGAAGAAATTCATTGATAAGTAACAGAACATATGCATGAAATCACATTAATGTGAAGCTAGAAACCAACCATTTTTTTTTACATTATATAGTAAAGTCCAATTATTGTAGAGATTGTTTAATCTTCTCCGCTCCTTAAAGATGCTTGGAATGTATTCATATATTGTACTTATCAAGTTTTTTGTTCATGCCGTGTAGGCTTTAGATGATGAGAATAAACTAGTCGTTAAAGGAAAACACACTGATCAGGTTCTTCCCCTACCAAAGCAATTAAAGATAGTTAAGTCATCAGAGAGTTCTGTGTGTTCTGAACAGAAAGATTTGACAGTATCAGCCGCAGAAGTTCCACTTTTGAATGAAGTTAGTATACCAACTAAACGAAGTAGACGGAAGATTATTTTACAGAGAACATCCTTGCCAAAGGAAAAGTCTTCTGACTACATATTGAAAAGTCAACCTAATAAGTACTATACCCTAAGGGTACAAGCTTTTGTCTTAATTTAAATTAAGATTTGAGGGGATTTAAGCTTTATATTTAAAATATAATAACGTCCTTTATAACTTGCAGGAAAAGCTTTCTAGTTGCTTGTCATCCAATATGGTTCGCAGATGGTTTATTTTTGAATGGTTTTATAGTGCAATTGATTATCCATGGTTTGCCAAAAGGGAATTCATGGAGTACTTAAATCATGTTGGACTAGGGAATATCCCAAGGTTAACTCGTGTTGAGTGGAGTGTCATAAAAAGGTATAAATTCAGTGGTGGTTACTATGAGCTTCTGCTAAACCTAGTGAACGGTAAAGTATGTAATCATGAAGTATGTATTTAAAACACCGTATTGCATTTGCTTTTGCAGTTCCCTTGGCAAACCCCGCAGGTTTTCTGAACACTTTCTACGTGAAGAAAGACAAAAACTTGAACAATATCGGGAATCAGTTAGGAAACATTACACTGAACTGCGGACTGGTGCTAGGGATGGACTTCCAACAGATTTAGCTAGACCATTATATGTTGGACAGCGAGTAATTGCTCTTCATCCAAAAACAAGAGAGATTCATGATGGTAGTGTGCTTACTGTTGACTATGACAAGTGCAGGATTCAGTTTGACCGTCCTGAATTGGGTGTTGAATTTGTAATGGTAATATGATTTCTTATTATCATGCCAACTTTTAAATGTTATAGTGTTTCTTCTAAAGATACTATCAATCAGTACGTTTGGCACATTTGTTTCAGTTAAATTTAGGAGAAAAATTGGCCTTTTCCTTTTCTCAAAAGTTTCTCAGGAAGATGCCTAAAAAAGTGATTATTTCCTCGCAATAAGTTAAACCAAGTATGCATGCTACACGATGTAATGTTTTAATAAACTAAAGAGCTGCTTTGTGCTATAAAGCTCATGCTATGCAGAGTGTCTAGGGAAAGGTTGGACCTATAGAAAGCAACCTTGCATAAGGTTGATTTCAAGAATTGAATCTGTGGCGTCCAGGTCACTTTGTGATAACTCTAATTGAATAAAATTGGTTTGTTATTTGTAAAATATATAAATGATCTTCGTGAATCATGTTCTGTAAATAAAAAATCAAAGGTTTAATATTTCTTTCTCCCAGTTGAATAAATTATCTTGATATATTTTATGTCTGATAATGGTTTTCACATTTTCTTGTTTTTAATTGGTGAGGAAGTAAGAAAACAAATACTACTGAACCCTCAGTTGCAACGGGCGAGAAGTTTGGTTATCTTACCGACAGAGAGTAGTTCGCGGCGGGGTTACCGAACCGGCGAGGGAAGTAGTCGAGGAAGGTCTTCGAGGCTTTTGGACCGGGGATTTAAGTCGGACCGGTGGGTTTTCACGATGGCGCCGCCTTTCTTAGTTAGAGCATCGTCAATTAGGTCTCCCAGGGTGGCGAATAACGCCGCCGACGCGGGAACCTCCGCTGCGCCGCCGCCGCCGCCGCCTACTGTGGAATCTGTTTGACTTTTCGCCCTTGCAAGACTTCAATTTGTGATGTATCTATCAAACGAAAAATTCAGCCACGATTTTTTTTTTTTTTTTTAATTTAAAATTTGTAAGATGTGTATAATATTTTGCACATTTGCTTTTCCTTGAAGATGAGTAGCTGGAATTCTGAATCATGATAATTTGGTAAGTCATAAACTTTGTCATCAAACTCAGTTATCAGAAAGAAAATAAACGAAAAAAGTGAATGCGCAGCCGGAAATTAGAAAAGCAAACAAATCTGGCATGCACGGTACGTATCGCGTTCAGACTAACGAGTTCTTTTGGAAAACGATAAAAATAATAATAATAATAAAAGAAAGAAAGAAAAGTCCATAATACTATAATAGATGACGCCATGTAAATCCAAAAAATAAAATAAAATATCCACAGCAGTAAGAAAAATAGCCCTGACATGTTTCATATGAAAAAATAAAATAAAAATCCTTCACATTAATAATTTGAGATTAACTTTCAGAATTATTCATTACTAATTAAATAAAAAATGAGAAAGAAAAGTTTTGATTAAAAAGGATGAAGATTGCAAGAGTAATTAGTTCGTTAGAAAATTAGTTAGTTTTTACTGTATACTATTAGTTTCTTAAAGATAATTGTTGGATATAATAAGCTCTATATATAGAGTATTTACAAATTAATTTTAATTGTATATTTTATCAATCAACTACAGAATATATATTTATGGTACTTTTCTTCTCTATTTTGAGATTTAGGGTGCCACAATATGTTGCTGCTACTTATGTTTTTCATTAAACTTCCTGATCATCTCATACTTATGAGTATATATAATAAATTTTCATATTAGCACCAACCTTGACATAAAATCAGACATGAATCGATTTTAACATTAACCGTCATTAGTCATTACATGCACTTCCATTAATTATATATTCTACGTACAATTTTCGTTTTTCGATAAACACATTCCTATAAGTATAAATGCTTATTGCTAAAACATCAAGTGAAAAAATCTATTAGAGTAATTTTAATCCCTCTAAGTTGATGTATTGCAATACAAAAAACGTTTTTTTTTTAAATGTCTCGTGGCGTGATTTAGTTGGGAAAATAAACATTGACAATCATTTCAACAAGAACACCTCATGTTCTACGTGACTTTAATTCTTCACTAAATGCTTCACCTACGGAGTATAAATGTATAATCTATCCTTTTGTAAATGGTCTATGGATCTTCTTTGCCCCCCTGCATTATTAATTTATTATGAATTGTATATAAAATGTTTTTTTACTTGATTTTCTCTCCCCACTGTTCTCGATCCAACATTGCATCCCCTCTCTGTATATAAATTAGGATAACTATATTGAAGAACATTTTTATCAGCCATTCTTCATCTAGCATTTTTAGGAATTTATTTGTTGTTGGTTTAGCCACAAATCTTAAAATGGTCATGGTGGATTTAGGTCACATGTAATGGTAGCTCTAGATTGTCGTGAAACATGTTATTCATCAGAGCATCATTTAAGTACTATATCAAGCTCTGACTTTCGTGAAAAACTTTTGACATTTTGATGCTACAATTCAGGCATTGTCTTTGACAAAGGAAGGTGAAGATGTATTCATGAAGATTGGGCAGGCATTGGATTCTATTAATCACCAACAATTGGCCTCTGTGTCTAGATTACCTGTGATCAGATCTCAAGAACAAGTGAATGTGAATGGCAGTTTTTATCATAATAATCATTCAACTTGCTTTGTATCAGAGTCTTTACTTAATGATCCATCTGGTCAAAAACTACATAATTATTCTGACAAATTTGATACTGAAATTCCATCAGAGCTTATCACTTCATGTGTTGCTACATTAATCATGATTCAGGTAACTTCCCCCGGGTTGTAAACGCAGTGAGTTCCTTGTTATATACTCTTTAGTACTAGCCTCATTCTAAATTGCTCATGTCGGTTGTGTTTGCATCATGCCTTTCAACTAATTGATGTTTATAATCGCGTTTTCGTTCCCCTCCACCATCCATACATTGGTTTTCTTTAGCTGGAAACTACATAAAAAAAAAAAACCCGTTCTTGTAAATTGAATTTTGTATGTGTTTATTTATTTGGCCGAGTGTGTTTTTTCAGTAAAAATATTGTCAGATATATCCTCCCATTTTCCACCTCCTAAGATTTTAAGTTTGTTGAATAAATCTTGCTAACCAAAAATTAATGTTGTTTGTAACTTGCAGACATGTACTGAACGGCAATACCCTCCAGCTGATGTGGCTCAGATATTAGATTCTGCCGTTACGAGTCTGCATCCATGCTGTCCTCGAAACCTTCCTATTTATAGAGAAATTCAAATGTGCATGGGAAGAATCAAGACCCAGATTTTAGCTCTCATCCCTACTTGACTTTACATGTGTAATTCCCTCATGTAGCTCTTCTGTTGTATATGAACTGAACTGAACTAATAGTTCAGATCACATAGGGGCTCCTCGCCCACCTTGTAATGTCTTTTTGTTGAGGGGTACAATCATTTTTTATAGGGTCAAAATGTGGTATTACAAATCATGTAACTCAATACTCAATACCGTGTCTTTTTAATCATTCGTGTCAAATGGTGGCACTTAATAAAAGTTAAATAAAAAATTATTTCATTATATAATTGATAAAAAGCTCCAAATGTTTATTTCGTTAGGCACGTCTTAATCTAGAGAGGGAGAGCGACATTAAAGCTTGGGTTACAGCATGTTCTCAAGTTTTATTTTTTAGGCCAAATTGTACATTGCACTTTTCATTCCTATATTTTTGAAATACAGATATTTAATTATCTTATTTTTTTGTATATATTTCAACTAGTGTCACCAAAAAAAAAAATATCCACGAGGGGTTAATATTTATTTTATGAATAAATTTTATTTGCATGATTTTCTTTTATTTTTTGAATTTCTAGATATTATATCATTAAATATCATATCATTTAAGTATGAAAAAATGTTAAATTTAATGATAAATAAATGTCAATTTAATAGATAATAAAAATTTTGTATTTTTAAAATTAAATAGATGAAATCTTTATTTTAAAAGAGATCAAAATTACGAAAAAAATGAAAATAAAAGAACTAAAAATGTGATTTAACCTTTTTTTTTATAATATATATAACTTTTGTATAATATGAATGTAACTTTTGTGAGTGAGATGAGATTCAAAATCTGTTAACATCAAGTCTAAAATTTTATGCTTTCAATAATTTTTTTATAATGTAAATTTAAGTGATCAAACCTTTGAATTATGTAATTATATTTATAATCATGTATATCAAATTTTATGATTTGAAATTTTTTTAGATATGTTATTCAATAATGAATATTTACAATATCATATTATACTTTAAAATAAAGTAATGTGATGAAACTATTAAATAATTTTATAATCATATGAAAATTGATTTACATGATATTAAGTATAGTATTACATAATTCAAAGTTAAATTTACATCATTCTAAAAGTTATCAAATGTATAAAATTTTGTGAATTTTTAAATATACAGTTGATATCAACTTACATGTATTCGGTTTTAGTTACCTTGAATTTAATTCACTTCTCATCCAACCTATGCATCGATAAATTTAATCGAATTACCAATCTCCCAAAAGATTGTTGACAGCAAGAATTTACGGACAATCTTCTAGCTGTGATTTGCCCTTTGTATTATTCAAATCAATGATGAAATTAGACTCAATCTAGGTTGAGATTCGCAACCACCGGGAACAACCAAAAATTGATTTCTTTAGTTTTTCAATCATCTTTAATTCAATTCACTTCTCATCCAACCCATGCAACAATAAATTTAATTGAATTTATCTACTTCAAGTTTGAATTATTGTATTTTGAAGATAATAAAAATAAAAATAATAACAACAACAACAAAAACATATGCAATTTTTTCAACTGATTTTTGAAAGCAAAGCTGATTATTATTTTTTAAATAAGCTAATTAAAGAGCCATGAAACAAATCTGTATTCGTTGGACCAAAATGATTTAACCCGTTTAACGCGTGCGTATAAAGTTGATATGACTACGGTCTTAAGATCTAGCTTTAATAATAAACTGATCATATATAAAGAAAAACAAAAAGGCGTACGATGTAATGGCAAGTGTGTGCTAAATATTACAGACAAAGATCAATTCAACTTGGAATCCAAATCTACCGATGTTTAGAATGAGCTTTTTTGAGGGAATATTTTTTATGAAAATGAACTTAGTGAGAAAAGCATGAATTTGAGGAACACAATAAAATTTAAAATAGAACTGTTTTAAATGAACGAGTGACATATCTATCCATTTGAAAATTTATAACAAAAATTGAATATTTACCTAATAATAGTATCGAGTGCAATAACTTAAGAAGTATTAATTGATCATAAATATTATGCTTACGGTCCTACCCATTTGCCAATTGCTAGATTAGGAAAAGACGAATTCATTAAAATGCAAGCAAACCGGTTATGAGAAAAATCTGGAATGATAATTGAACATTTGAACCTGAAGGAAGTACCTTTTACTTGCAAGTTGCAACCAGCCAACGGTGTGCCGCATACGGCTAAATATTTTACTCTTTCCTCCTTGATTTCTGTTAGCACAGGACACAAACATTGCATTTGTGCCGGCCAGCACAAAGGAGAAAATCATCAAACTGTTTAAAGGATGAAACAAATCCCTCAATTTACAGACTTTTCTCTCTACAATTTCTATCCTATAAAAGCAAGCCATGATGGCAATGGCATAACTCAGATAATTAGTTTTCATAGAACAAGTCCTTTCTAGGGCTACCACAGCAAAATGATAGCCAACTAGCTTAACAACAATCTGAACACGTCACCAATGGAAATGATACCTTCCACACGCCTGCTTCCCGCTTCCACAACCACAAGTCGTCCAACATCTGCAAAGTGAAGAAAATTGGAGACCGAACGAAGAAATTATTTATTTCTTTTTCTTTTTCTGCTCCATTACTATTTAAGAAAGGGGAAGGAGATTGATAGTTAAGAAGAAATACCAGGATTTGCCAACCGCTCCATCACTTTGTGCAATGCGTCAGACCTCATACAGATGTGACATCTCTGGCCATTGCGAAGACCGTAAGGGAAGTTTGCATATCGTCCCAAAAGCAATGCCTATAAAGTGCAAAAAATATGTAGATTTAACTTTTGTTGACAAATGAAATCAAACAAAATTGCTGAGAGAGGAATTACCTGATGGATACTAAACCCATCCAGACTTATCCTTGCATACGCATTATGTTTAACCAATGAAATAATATCTCTGAAAAGAAAATACCAATACATATTATATAAGCAGGAGGAACACCTTCTACCCCTTTTAAGTATAAAAATGAGAATCACGCACAGGTGGACACAGGAGAAAGGGAGTTTCTACCTTCTTGAATATATATCAAGTAACGAATCATTATCATCCACAATCAGTATTGAGCTAACTTCAGCTGCAGAAGGACAGCAAACATACGACAGTAAGATAAGACAGAACAGAAGACTTGACCACTTCTTTGAAAGAGAAGAATGATCGCACCTTGAATCATAAGAGACAAAGCATCACCAAGAGAAGCATTTGGCCTTAGCATAGCAAGTGGCTTTTTTTTGGATTCCCCCCTTTTTGACACCCATGTACCTACAGGTACCGAACCAATTGGTAGCTGAAGAATGGGCAAGGAATCAGAAGAGTGCTTAAAATGCCTGCATATACCTGAAAATCAAGTCCATACGTTAGTTTCAAACCATTTATGCTTGACCAATAAATCTAGAAGCTTACATTTTAGTATTCCTGGGAGGGAAGCAAGCTGTAGTAGCTGAGGAAAATAACCATCCTCTGAAGAAGAATGAATAATAGGAACTGTTGCCACCTTATTTTGCAAAATTTTTAAAGCAACATCTTTTAGACACTCCTGGGGCCCAGCCTACAGAATACATATAAACATAGCATGAAATACTGTACAATCATAAAAGATAAACATAACATGAAATCACAATCAGCAGGACCCATAAAGACTCGATATGAAAAAGTTTAAGCTGCCAAAATTGTACATAAACTACTAAGAACCAGATTAGGTAAAAGTATTTTTTCTGCAAGAAAAAAGTTATTTAGATAAACTAAAATCATCGGTAAATATCTGTATGACTACACCTATCTATCTATGAATTTAATAATCATCAATCATGTTGTGGAATCCCTGATTAATTCCGAATTCCCAAATAAATGATCAGAGCATACAACCTTTTAACTTATCTAATAAGTTAACGATATAGCAATATGAAATAGGAAAATTAATTTGTTATGTGAAACTTTTGTCACAACTGCCCAGAAGCACTTACTTGAATAAAACGTCGAGGGTATTTTTTTCCCTGATTAATTCCGAATTCCCAAATAAATGATCAGAGCATACAACCTTTTAACTTATCTAATAATTTAACGATATAGCAATATGAAATAGGAAAATTAATTTGTTATGTGAAACTTTTGTCACAACTGCCCAGAAGCACTTACTTGAATAAAACGTCGAGGGTATTTTTTTCCCTGATTAATTCCGAATTCCCAAATAAATGATCAGAGCATACAACCTTTTAACTTATCTAATAATTTAACGATATAGCAATATGAAATAGGAAAATTAATTTGTTATGTGAAACTTTTGTCACAACTGCCCAGAAGCACTTACTTGAATAAAACGTCGAGGGTATTTTTTCCCATTGCTTTCAGTTCCGCATTCTTGTATCTTTGCCTCCCTCCATGCTGCTATAGTGTGTGTCTCAAGTTGTTCTTCAGTCAACTTTGATCCAAGATTCCCCATCTGAAATGAAGCAGGTTAGACGAGCCACAGAATTTACAGAAACAAGTGTCATGTATTTCTCTACAAGAATACCCTACAAATTATAGATGTTAAAACCGATGGTATTCTGGAGAAAATTGCATGAATGGGCCATTCACTTGATCTCTTATTTACAGCTTGATCACAACCAATCAATCAAGAAATTAAGAAGCTAGTTACTAACCTTGTAATTTTTTCAACTTCACAATAATCTAGGCCTCGATGTAAATATACATTTTGGAAATTTCATTTAGTCATTATTTACCAGTTGGTAAGTTCTCATTTTTCATTACTTCTACTGAAAGCTGACACATGATATTTTATTAAATATTTTATTCCCCACAAACCTCTTTTAGAATTAGAATGAAGTCCATTGCACTAAGCATTCCAACAAACTGACACTTGCTAGAATCCCATACAGGAGCGATAGATATTCCCTGAAAGCAGATTAAGTTACAATGTAAATATATATAAAATAAAAATTAGTCATGCAATTGCAGATAAACATACACCACACGAGCATGATGTGAACAGAAAGATAAACACTTGATCATTAATAGTGTAATGAGGGAAAGAAAAAGATAACCTCCTGATGAAGAGCATGGAATGCTTGCTTAACTGGTAAAGTTACATCCAAGGCAATAACCTGAAATTATAATAAATCAAATCAAAAGCATATGAGCTTCACATATGAACAGATAAGCTATTATTGAATGGACAGTTGGACACATTAAGAGAGAGAGAGAGAGAAGTATTCAGACCTTGCCTGATTCAGTAACCAACTCATAAGCAGTATGTGTAGACAAGAATAAAGATATATGGTGTTGAGAGACCTGCAGATCAGACTCTGACATCCTTGGATTTGCTTCCTGAAAAAGTTCAAAGTCAAGGTAGCTTCTTTTGTGTAGCATAAATTCAAGAGAAAAACAATTATGGAATCAAAACTGATTCTGTCACCATTTGAGAAAAGGATACAGAATACAAAGGAAGGTTTTTTAATTTTTTTTCAAAGAAAATGTTTAAAAGATTCAAGAATTTATAGCAAAAAAAAAATTTATTTGTAAATAAAAGAAGAATCATTACTGGAGGATAGAAAGAAAGTATACATGCACACATTAGAGAAGCGGGGGGGGGGGGGGGGGGGG